ATGAGGTAAATCTCTCAAAAATTGACCTAAAGAAATTTCCTCAGTATTGAAAATGGGATTATCCTGAATCTTTCCTAATTTCTTTTGAGAGAGATTGTTCAGACTTTGAGGTAAAAGATGATGAGTGGGGTGTTAGCTGATTTTTATTCTCAGATGCCTCTGGAGCAGGCTAGAGATTTTGAGGCATATAGAAAAATGGTGTATTCCAGATTTGGAATTAATTCAGAGCACCTGAGAAGAAAATTTCATGCAATTTCAAAGAAACCCGAGGAGTCTTTTGCCCAGCTTGGAGCACATTTAAATCGCTTCCTTAGAACAAATGAGAAATGTGATTGGATTAGAACAATTTTATTCCATTTTTCCAGGGGAATTGTGTTATCTGGTCAATGACAAAGATCCTAAATATGTATTAAAGGTGGCTGAATATGCTGATTCCATTAGTGAGATTAGAGAGCCTTGATTTTCTGAGGTAAACATTGGTAGAAAAGTGTGGGATGACCGGAGGAGAAGGTCCCTATCTGCTAGAGTGCCCAGACATTCCAGCCACAAGAGTGATAGTGTTTCCTAATTCAGTGCAACCAGGATTTATTGAATAAGTCTGCAGAGCCTATTTTCAACTTCAGCTGTAAGGAGGGGTTGAGCAATGAGGCAATTTAATATCCTGTAGAACAACAACATGATGACCGCTATGGGCAGGAGTTACTATCTGAGATGTTTCTTTCTCCCAAGGTTCCTGTGTGTTACTCCTGTTCATCCAGGATTAGGGAAATGAGTTCTGGGAGCATTAAAAAAGAGAGAAGAGGACATAGTTCATCCTTCATGAGCTGGCTGTGAGGGGAAAGCATTCACACACAGCATGCTTTGGCAAGTGGAAAAACAAGTTTTTCTTTCCAGACAACCTTGATTGTATACTGAGCTGCTGGAAGTGCAGCAGAATGCATCAGTGGTTTTCCCCCGGGACCAGAGGGTGATAGACTTCTCTGGTGAACTTCAGCATCTCCTTTCTTGAGACAGCCCAACAAGAATCAGCCTTTCTCCCATGACCATCCATACTTTGCTCTACCACTTCTCAGTGGTATAAGAGAAGACCTGTAACTAAGCAGTCTGTTTATTTGAAATCTCCTTTCTCGTAGCTTGAATCAATTTATACTGGCCTTTCTCTTTTGGACAGTATAAAAGGAACCAAATTTGGAATCCAAATTATCATGAGAACTGAAGTTTCTGCATGTCTGCTCTGATAGTTGTCATTGTTTATGTCAGAAGTGTAAATAAAATATGCAAGCTTATATCTTAGAATAGGGAAGGTTTTTGTGGGGTTGTGTGGATGGAAATTATCGACTGAAGTGGCCATTTTAGAGCAACCAAAGGCCCCTTGCAAGACAAAGCATGCTTATCCAGAAGACATTCATTTGTAAGGGTTCTTGTGCATTTCGAAAAAATAAAATATGCAGTAAACCATCTTAGATCTATTTTAACTATGCTAATGGATAAAATTCTGCATTATAAAATAGAAATGCACAATTATACCTTAATTATTGACAAAATATGTGCAGGATGTGCACATTGAGAGGAAAGACTTTGGAAACTACTTCCGTGTAAGGAGAAAAACCCAAAAGGGGGGTTGAAAATTCTTTTGATATTTAGCAAACTAACACTGTCGGAATTGTCCATGGTAAAATATACCTTACTGACACATTCTTCTGGACAAGATTTTAGGGCATAGTTTGCGAGTTCATGTCTTGATATGGCTGAAATCCTGCTGCACAGTTATGCAAAAGGGGTAACTTTGATTACTGAATTGCTAGGCACCATCAAGCACAAAAGGAACCTGTTCCATGTTTAAAATCAGAGGAGTAGCACAATAAAAGTAGACAAACATGCACCCCTCTAGCAGACACACAGGGCAATCCTTCTCTCTTGGCACTACTTTTCTGTTCTTCCTCCTTTAGTTATTCACTTACTTTCCTACTACTGATCCATTTCACAGAAACAGAGCTATTGCAGAATTAAGGAAGCTTCAAAGTCTTATGCACGATGTATTGTGCACATTATTGCCTACAGTAGAGGCTGCAATGTTAACATCATCTTTGCATGCCATGGAAGGAAAGAAGAGAAAATCTTACCTTCAGCATGGTCCTGTAAGGCATTTTCCGATCCATTATGAGAAGATTTCCAACAAGTGGTAATGGCCAGGGTCCTGGGGGAAGAAGCTGAGAGCTGTTCTTCCAGAAACCTTTAGTTTTCAAAACCAATATAATCATAAAGGTAAACAGGAGGAATACTGAAACAAGAGTAATCCAGTCCATTTCTATTTAGGAAGCAGTTTTTTGTAGTGGTTACAATGCAAGCTGCAGTACAGTATGATCAGGGAAAGTGATATTCTGAAGTGATACTTCTGAAGAACTATCTTATAAAAATAGTTATTTCACCACACGTGCTTTAGCTATTTCATCTCATGAACTATTAAATATTCTCGTGTGAGCAAATTTGTTCCACTTTTCACTAGATGGGTTGTCTCCAAAACAAAAACAGACCAGAGATTTATACGAGTCCACAGACTTTGTTTGAATTAGCACTGAAACATGTGATCCATGGTTAGCCATTTAACAAGACAAAACTGTCTGGAGATAGCATTTCTTTGTTTTGCTTTGGTTTCAAAATGCTCCTTTAACAGTTGACTGTGGCCCTTGAGATAAACTTTCTTCTAGTTGTCTGTTTGGCTAACTTTTGACATGTCTTTCTCTTGTGAAATCCAATGGTCATTTGCAGCAATGACTTGATACAATTTCCATCTGTAGAATGCTTCAACGATCCCATGGTGTCTAAATTATACTGAAGCCTTATGCAGCTTTTTTGCTTGCTAAATTGGTGGTGGGGATGTGTGTGCCCATATTAAGTCCTGCCTCCAATGCCCCTGCCTGGAAAATGACGGGAAGGCTGATGTGTATGCCCACATCCCCAGTATCTTTTTAGCCTACAGGTGAAACAGTACCCCCGGGTTCAGTGCTATTCAATATTTTTATAAATAACCTGATAGGGGGTGCAGGGAATGCTAATCAAATCTATGGATTACACAAAATTGGGTGGAATTCAGTTGCCTCCAATGCCCCTGCCTGGAAAATGACGGGAAGGCTGATGTGTATGCCCACATCCCCAGTATCTTTTTAGCCTACAGGTGAAACAGTACCCCCGGGTTCAGTGCTATTCAATATTTTTATAAATAACCTGATCAGGGGGTGCAGGGAATGCTAATCAAATCTATGGATTACACAAAATTGGGTGGAATTCAGTATTTCCGACTCTTCGTGACCCCATGGACCAGAGCACACCAGGCTGTCCTGTCTTCCACTGCCTCCCGGAGCTGGGCCAAATTCATGTTGGTCGCTTTAATGACACTGTCCAACCATCTCATCCTCTGTCGTCCCCTTCTCCTCTTGCCCTCACACTTTCCTAACATCAGGGTCTTTTCCAGGGAGTATTCTCTTCTCATGAGATGGCCCAAGTATTGGAGTCTCAGCTTCAGGATCTGTCCTTCCAGTGAGCATTCAGGGTTGATTTCCTTTAGAATTGATAGGTTTGTTCTCCTTGCAGTCCAGGGGACTCTCAAGAGCCTCCTCCAGCACCACAATTCAAAAGCATCAATTCTTTGGTGGTCAGCTTTCTTTATGATCCAGCTCTCACTTCCATACATCACTAGGGACCCCTTATCTAGAGTGTGATCTACTGTGTGGGCACAGAGGTGCTTTCATCCTCTGCTATTCTGCCAGACTGGCCCTTATGCACCTCAAATCTGTATTTCTCCATTGCCATTGATTGGTTTCAATGGATTGTTCCAGCAAAACAATTTGCAGACCCTTCTCCTGCAGGTTGGACCAGGACCACAATTTTAAGCCAAAATTGTGGGCATAGACTTTGTTCAATGATGGCTCACAATGGCAATGAATTAGAAATAAACAAATACAAAAGCATGTGAATCTCTAAGCGTAGCACATGTGTATGTATTGGCTATTGTTGGTATGTGCAATCAAGTGAGAAGCGACTTGTAACAACCTCAATAGGGCTTTCAAAGTAAGTGAGATATCTGAGGAGTGGTTTCACCGGTTCCGCACCTCCAATGAGTTTCCATGCCTGAGTGGAGATTTGAACCCAGGCATCCTTCTTGTTCATCACTCTGTCTGCTACATGATGCTGGCTAACCTGAATGCATTGTCTACTAAAACATTAAACAACAGTTTCTATTTATTCATCTTCCACCTTGTTATTCATACCATATGTAAGCATCTTGTATAAAATGATGCCAATATACAAATGGCAGGGTGCCAACCATACTTTGGAAAAACAACTCCTCCTTGAATGCCAGAGTCAAATAGCCTGTGCAGATGTCCAACATGCTTATGTTCCCTGAGAACAAATGCAAGGAGCAGGATATTCAGACTTGAAGCTGCTGCAGCTAAGTAAGTTTAAATGACCTGTCAAAAGTGGTTCTACACTGAAAGCACAAAGGCCCTTTGGAGAGGAGATGAAGCAGTGAGAATAATTGCAGTCACAACATTTAAGGCGTGCAAAACGGCTTGTTAAAAGCTTTAGTGAGATATGTGGCAACCCAAGAAAATTAATTCTTCCCTGAAATACAGCTTCTGAAAAACAAAGTGTAACCTCTATGCCACGTCTCCTTCTTGACTTAAAGGAAGATACATTACTTTTGACATTCAGAAATATTGAGGAAGTCAATCTTCCTACTTCAAAGAGAAAAGGAAGGAATGTGTATTTTATACTGTGTGTTTAATGCATGTACATGTACAATATGCAAGAAGATACAGGAACAGAAATAAGAACCATATGTTCCTAATAAACCTGCCTTTGGAGATAATGCGGTATATTAAAGGCACACAAATTTTGCATAAGCCTTCATGGACTGTAGTCTACTTTTTCAGACGCCAGAAGCTTTTGTGGGCTGTTGTGGAGAAGTTCCTTCACACAATTTTTCTCCACCACCCTAACAGATGAATGAGATGCTACCATCCCTTAAAATCCTGGGGTTGTGTAGGTGTGAAACAACTTACTCACTTCATATTGCTTGCCTGCATTTTGATGTATGTCACAACATTTATGCTGGTGGCTTTTGGCTAACGCGGTCAAAA